TCGAGGATATTGCTACTCGTCTTCATGGTGCTAAAGTGTTTACAGTCCTTGACGCCAAAAATGGGTTTTGTCACGTAAAGTTGAACGAGGAATCTTCTTATCTCACCACGTTTCATACTCCCTTTGGTCGGTATCGTTGGTGTAGGATGCAGTTTGGCATAAGTTCCGCCCCTGAGGTCTTTCAGCGGCGAATGCATGAACTGATCGAGGGTCTCACCGGTACGGAAGTTGTGGCAGATGATTTTGTGGTGGCTGGTTTTGGTGACACATATGAGGAAGCTGTCTGTGATCACAACAAAAGCCTTGTCGCTTTTCTACAGCGGTATGCCCAGCGTGGAGTCAAGCTTGTGGTGGAGAAACTTCAATTCATACTTTTAATGTTCTTTTTATTATATTGAAAAACTGACTGTTTGCACAAAAAACGGTTTGAAACAAAGACCAATCAGCGCGCGCGTATTTTCTTTGGGCTATTTTCCAGAATATGTTTGAGTGTAACATTCGAGTTTCTAAGACGTTTTAGTTTAAATAACTCAAATTTACATAATTTTCAGGGTTGTAATGAACATCATGACCTATTTCCCAAATACTACCGTCCCTGGACAGCTTATCGTTCAGACGATTACGGTTACACTAGAATGACCATCCACAACAAGACGCACTTGTACATGGAACAAGTCAGTGTGGATAAGGTGAGTGAAGAGGGTAGGGATGGGGTGAGCGGTATTGTACGAGAGATCTTCGCGACCGAGGTTTGCAAGGTTTATTTTCGTAGAGAGATATTTCTGGAATGTTAACGGTATTCTGTTGGGAAACGAATGCCAGAAATAGAACAGAATTGTATTGTCAGTAACGTGGTACCATAAACTTACAAACAAACGAATCTCGTTATCGACTCTTGTTAGTCCCGGATCAAGAAGCCTTGTTTCAATCGGGCAGATAAAGTCTTGTACCGTCTCTGACTCCGATACAGCTTGATGAAATTAGTACCCCTGAGGTATTTTTGTTATCTTAGTATTAATCCCTCGCCATGTTTTGAGCTTGTTAGTTTCAGAGTTGGTGTCAATTTTTAGGGAGGGGCACTTCTTCAGAAGGGGTGTTTTATCGGGGATCGCAATCAGATCTGAATGGCTTGTTATTGTTGAGCTTGCTACTTTCAGAGTGGTGTTACTTTGGAGGGGTCAGTGGGTCACTTCTTTTGGAGGGCCGTTTGAAGGGTCGCTGCCAACAAGGACTTGTTAAATGTACTTTCGGAGTTTTACAGTGTTGTTCTAGACTGATGTGGCCCTTGCGACCCACAAGAAAAATTGTTTTTAGTGTTCTGTAATCCTTTCCATGCAACCGTTTTCCTATAGTCTTGTTTCTGGTTCTTACGTCAATTTATTTTTTCTTCTTCATGCAGGGAGGAGAAGTCATTGACAAAGTAATGATGATCAAAGACGTGCATGGACCAGGAGCCTGGGTTCCAAAGAATATCAAGAATTGAACTGAATCACGACAGTACAACCATTATCTTCAGTGGCTGCATACGATTCTGTCTGGAGCGGTCAGTTAAAGTTGACAGAAAATCCCCCCCCCACAGAAGCACATAGGTTAAATTAATATATTTTAAGAATATTGTCATTCGGCCATCCAGTCATTCCACAGACCCTCTATTTTGTCTTAAGTTCGTTAAGATCCAGTCGGCGGATCTAGCCCCCCTTATTTTGGGTAAAAAAAAGAGAAGAAATCACAGAGGGAAGAAAAGCCGGCTAGGCAAGCAGAACAACCCCCCCTTCCCTAGCTCAAGGTCTAGATCTGCCACTGAGATCGCAAGCAAGAGTGCTAACCCAAGGGGATTTGAAAAAGGCCGCACGCAAAGAGGGAGGCCGTGGGGAAAGACAAAACTCGCGCTCCAAACAAAATAGCTCATAGAAAAACAATATAACGTCTGTGACTGACTATCGGCTACATGATTTCAAGGTACACGCACGGAGTTTCACGTGGAATTTGTTGGTCGTAGGCATGGGTAACCCGAGCGTGTTCAATATTTGCATAGTAATTAAATTTGAAAATATAAGAGTTTGTATGGAGTTTAGAACTGAAGGTTTCTGCTGATAAATGATGTTGAAGTTTTCGAAACAATATATGGTGTCGCTTTCTATCGCTGCGTTGTGTTTCTGAGTAATTTTGAGTGTTTTTTGGTCAAAATATTCAGTCATGTTTTATATAAAGCAAGGTAAGAAAAAGCACGAGGTTTTAGAGTCTTTCAGTGTTCGACTTGCTTCAGGAACTGCTCAAATTTTAGCTGGGAAACAGTTTCCCGGCCTGCTATTCTACTTCGTCGTCCTCATAATCTAGGAATGTGAGAACGGTTATGTAAAATGAAATTCCACATACCTTGTTTTTTTATGGAATTAGTAGGCTCAAAGTCACGTATCGTTTTGATAATATTATTGCCGCCAGCAACGCGTGGATCAAAAAATAGACCGCGTAAACGCGGTCAACACTGGGTACTAGGTTAAAAAGAGACCCAGCGGGGAAAGGCCCGTCATTTTGTTTGAGTTTTGTTTTTTTGTTTTTTACTTTGTTTTGTTCTGTTATTTTTT